CATAACCGTGTTCTTTGCAATTGCCTGAGAACATTCAAAGTCCTTTGTGAAAAAAATATTGGCTTTACTCATAGGCTTTCTTGCTGCCCTTGTATATACCAAAGTTGGTTGTCTTCTGACAGTAAATATATTTTTAAAATTTTATTATTAACCTTCAGGAAAGAATAAATCCCTGACTCTGCTTACTATCTAAAGCACTGAATTGTCACCTTACCATCCAAAGCATCTGCCCTTTAAGATAGCTGCTTCCTGATTAAATGACACCTTTTGTTCAACCCAAATCCTGGTAAACACTGTCATGAAATATTTGAAGGTGACCTTCATTTAAGTGCTTAACTTCTTCTATGGGCAACTATGCTGCAGGGGGCTGGGGCTAGAAGGAGGTATAGAGACAAGACCCAGAGTAGCTTAGAGGAAAACAAACAGGTAAGTACGTCCTGAGGACTATTAAGTCAGAGGTGGGGACAGTACAGGCAAAGTCCTCTCCCATCAGTTCTGAACAATGTGTCTGAGGGTAAACAGGAGCCCCTTTTGTCAAAGCAGCTTCATAGGGGCAGTGACATCCGAAGTGACTCTAGAGGAGGAGTACGGGTTTGCCAACTTGAGAATGTTCCAAGTAAAGATAATAGAATGGATAAAGGAACGTTCCCTCAGCGAAACTGCCTCTCTTGTTGAAGAAACAGGAGAAGTTGAACGTGGCTGGAAGTTCAGAGGCATCCTGGGAACGGCAAGACAAGCCAGAGAGACATGAAGGCACAGGCTGTAAGGAATGTCGGTTTCAGCCTGCTGGTTATGGAAAGGTCATTCTTTTGTTTTCTTAAGCAGAGGAAAAGCATAGTCAGATATGACTTTCTGGAGGATCATCTTGTTTTTTGCTGGAGGGAAATCGAGAGGGAAAGAGACCAGAGAAGTCCCCCCTGGGATATCTGGTCTGCACACGCTGCTATCCCAGCCCTGGCCCTCTTGTCACCCAACATTCCATCACAAATGAGGAAGCAGGGGCACTGACAGTCCTGGGAGGCTGCACATCCCTTTCAGCCAGAGCCGGATGCAGGGAGATGACAACCCTAGCAGCCCCATCCTATCCTCTCTTATCCCTGTGAATTTCCCGTGCTTGCCAACCACTTATGCTGAAGTGGTGGCATCAATGAAAGGAAAACATAGGGCAGCCCCTAGGTTCTTTTTCTTCCGGCCCTTCCTTCTCATCAGCTAGTTGAAGGCAGAGCGGCATTGGTAGAATGTGCACGTACTAAGAAGTAAAATGAAAAGTGAAAGATTTATATGACCTGAAGAGAATCCAGAGGAAAGTAGTGTGGACATTCCCCAAAGAACTTAAAGTAGACCTACCTTTTGATTCTGCAATTCCTCTACTGGGTCATTACCCCAAAGAAAGACACTGCACCTGAATGTTTATAGCAGCACAATGCACAGTCACAAAGATGTGGAAACAACTCAAGTCCCCATCACTACAGGAATGAATTAATAAAGTAGTGGTGGGTGCGCTACCAGGGAACACTACTCAGCCATAAAAAGATGGAGATCTACTACTATCCTTTGTAACAACCTAGGTGGAATTGGAGATCACTCTCCTGGGTGAAGATGACAAGAATGGAAAAAGAAACACCACATGTGCCCAATACAAAACTGGAACTTAGGTGACTAGCACCTATATGCCTATATGAAAGCAATGTCAGTGAAATCAAGTCTGGGGCAGGGGGAGAGGAGGATGGAAAAATCCCCACCCAGTGGATACACTGTGTACTTTCTGTAAAAAGGAAACACATATAACTCTAAATATACAAAAGTAAATTATGTAATCAAAATGTCCGTACCCCCATAATATTCTGAAATATAAAAATACATAAAGAAAAGCAGAGTCAATGTCACATATAGCACAGAAAAAAAAGTGAAATAAAAACAGTAGAGCCAATTTTGTGCCCCGTTTCCACCGCTCTGGTAAATATGCATGTAGGAGCTACATGAATCAGGCATTTTTGCTGCTTCTGCACGCAAGGTTAAATGTTTTTATATTTGCATTTTAAACTAACACTGAATAATAGAAGATGGACAATAAAAATTTATGGTAATAATTTAAAAATTTTTTTCTTTATGACAGTACATAGCAAATAAAAACCCCATGACAAGAGGACAGAAACCATAGGAGAAAGTCTCTTTAGTATCTTAACAGCACTTTTTTCCCACAAATGGCCCCACAGTCCATTTTGCTGTGGTTCTCACAAATGATTACTAACCCTGTATGGAGTTCCATCCCCATCAGGTAAAAGAAAGGTGATCACTGTCTGCATCTGTCTCCCCCGTCCTTGAGTGAAGGTGCTGACAAAACGCACGCTTCCCCTAAGTCAAGGGCTCTGATATACGCATCAGAGTTGCCTGAAAGCTTGCTACAATGCAGATTCCTGTGCCCTCACAGTTTCTGATTCTCTAGGTCTCTGGTGGAGCCTGAGAATCTGCATTCCTGAAAGCTGTTGCTGCTCCTACACCACACTCGGAACCCTTGCTCTAGAGTGGGTATTACGCAGCCTTGGACATGTGCCTTACAAAAGGCATGTTCTGTTACCTCGTAAATGTTCAATTGCTCCACCAAGTCCAGGTCAGTCCCTTTCTTGCTCAAGTGCCTCTGGGACACAGCAGCGATGCCCAGCTCCTCCAGGCAATCCACGACATCGTAGAAGGTGTCTTGGTCTGGCAATCCTGACAACGTCTGGAAGAAAAGAACCCAAAGCAGACAGGTCTTAGAGGGCAGCCTCAAGGCACTTTTTACACAGTAGCTGGTAACCATGGTTCTAACAATATAGTACAAAGCAAGGTAAATGACAAATTTGAAAGAAAGCCTCTTTAGTGTGTGGTAGGGAGAATGAACCCCAAGATCCACCCCTCCGTTGTACATGTGCTATCTAATTCCCTTCTGCACGTGGGTTGGGTACTCCCGTGATAAAGCGGCAAAGGTGAAGGGATTTTGCAGATATAATTAAGTCTTAGATCAGTTGATTTTGACTTAATCAAAGGGGTGAGCGTCCAGGGTGACAATCAGATAAACCCCATCAAAGTGGACTTAAGTCTTCTTTGCTGAACTCAGAGACTAGAAAGAGATGACCGGGCTTGAAGCAGCAGCCAGGAAATGAATTCTGCCAACAACCATATGAGCTTGGAAGGCAACCCTAGTCTCAGATGGGACTTCAGCCCCGGGCAGCACCCTGACTGCACCTCTGTGACACCCTGAGCAGCCAGCTAAGCTGCGTCTGAACTCTGACCCACAGAAGCTGAACTGATAAACGCCTGTTGTTAAGGAGCTACGTTTGTGGTAACTGGTTACATGGCATTGGAAATCTAATGCATTGTGATTAGACGCTCCTGTTAAGATCATAAACCAATGGCTGGAGTTGTAACAATATGATTCCTTTTCATTTCAATTCAGTAGGGCTTCTCATAGTCTATAAAATTCAGGAAAGCATGAGAAATTTCGAAGTACAACCCAGAGACAAAAAGATACTCAAAGAAAGAAAAGGCTGACTTCTCTATGAATTCCTCCTCTCTTAACATTAAA